TAAACTAATTTGCTCCCATGATTTTCAGAGAATGTATGATTCATAATCAATTTGACAGAACAATGCTATGCACTGCACCACATGGAGGGAAAGTGCTGAAAAAGCTTTATTACTCCAACAACTGAAGCCATCATTAAGCAATTGCAATTGGGAGAAAGCATCTAGAGTTAAAAAAAGGTTGCACACTACAATTAGCAAATAATTTCGAATTGTGAGATGCAGGAAAATATAGAGATTTGATATATTTTCTGATCCAGAACATCTTTATTTGCCAAATTTTGTTTTTACAATAACATGGAACCAATTAATGTTCTTAACATTTCATACAGTATGTGAAGGTATATAGATGAATTATTTTCAGTTAGATAACACAGAAAAAGTTACCTGATTGAAGAGAAAAAATAGGGTTGTAAGATAAAGCAGTGTTCATCTAGTACATTTCCTAGTAGCTTTCAGTATTCTCATATTGTCTGGAGCTTTCAGGATTTTAGTAGCATCTGAAGAGCAACAAGTTTCCCATCTTTGATATACAAAAATGTAGTTGTGTGGATTAGGTTTAGCACTTCAACATGTGAGTATGGTTACTACTGATGAATGTGTACTAGCCATGTATTATATTTCCAATAATTATTTGATACCTGAGAAAAATTCCAAATGATATAGAAGCATCATTATGTTTGAATATGATTGCCACATCTCTAAAAGTGTATTGTATACCTGGAAATGGGGCAGAAGACTAAACAAAGTAACTAGGAGCTGTTGTTATTCTCATACAAGGAAGTTGAATTGTTTAGTTTAGCCTGAAGAAACTTAATAAACCAATCTTTAAAATGGAAAATGGAGTTTTTCTTCCTGTCTCATAGTTGTTCATAATCTCATAATCATAGGGATCCAAGATCATGGTGGTAGATGCAGGAGAGATGAACGGAAGTACATAATTAGATTGTAAAGAAGCCTTTAAAAGAAGATAGATATATTCACAAAAAATTATGAATAAATCCTTTCAGTAGAAAAGTGGTATTAAAATAAATAAAAATATAAAATGCTATTCATTATGGCTGCATATTATCCTATTTTGCCCGTGAACAGTAGTTTTTGGGAGCACTAGCAGAAGAGGTTAATTCCTAGCTTCTTTCATATTGGTCTCAATGCAGTTACTCCTTTGCTATTATCTAACTCTGCAATATTTTTTTGTGTATGATTTGGTGGATAAAAAGCAAAACATGTCTGATTGGGAAAGGTGATTAAGGCTTCCTATCCTCTCTCTCAAGATTTTGTCTGCAAATCGGCTTCCTGGGAGGAGCCTACTGGTGGAGGCAGCAAAAAATCAGCTGCCTCCGAATTCCTGGCTACGTACCTGTTT